TAAGTTCCTAGTTATAGATATTATAGTTAGATTCTACTAGAGTATATTTTTTTTAAAAAGAAGGCTATAGGGTATAATTTGCTATCTAAACCTTTCTACTTAAGGGTGCCTTCTACTGCTTATCTAGAGCTATTGTAATATATATATATATTTTTATTAGGGTTAAAAGTAATAAAGATCTAGTTTTTTTTAAAGGTATTCTTAAGTTATTAAAAAGTAGCTTAGAATTCCGATATAACTTAGACCTTAGTTAGTTTTCCCTTAGAATAGCCTGTGCCCTTTATAGTATTAGTTAAAGAATATATAATAGCGGAGTATTCTATAATAAACTATTAGTAGAATCCTATAAAACCTAGGAATTCTAGAAGTCTAGTAATAGTATAAGGTAGCTGCTAGTTGTAAATAGCTTCTAGCTTAACTAGGTCTATTTTAATCCTACTTATAGAGATTATTAGACTAAGAAACTTTACTTTAGTTATATAAAACTTGCTCTTATTAATATTAGCGTATAGTTCTTTATTATATAGTTAAGTAAAAATGCTTTTTATATAAGCAGGGTATTTTTTAATACTTTTACTATATACTAGGATATTATCTAAGTATATAGTAATAAACTTATTAAAATACTTATAAAAAGCAGTATTAATAAAGCGTTGGAAAGTTACAGGTATATTATACAGCCTAAAAGATATTACGCAGTACTAGTAAGTCCTATAGTAAGTAGAAAAGGCTATTAGCTATTCTATACCCGGCTTTATTTGGACGCAATTAAATACTGCAATAATATTAATTTTTATAAAGATTTTGGCCTTAAATAGCCTGGCTAAGGTTTTTTAGATAAGAAGTAAGGGGTATTAGTCCTTAATAGTAGCATTATTTAGTTCTTAGTAGTTAATATAAATATATATACCTTCTCCGGGTTTCTATATAACTAGCAACAGGGAACTTATATTTCCTAGGGCAGGTTTAATAAACCCCTTTACTATTATATTGTTAATATACTTTTAGATAGCTTTAAGTTCTATTTAGGATATTAGGTATAGTTTCCTTAAAGGGAGTTTAGCTCCTTTTTTAATCTTAATATTATAATCTTTATTAGTATACTTAGGTAGTATATTAAAAAAGGGGTAGTAATAAAGGTCCTTCTAGGCGCTATAAAGCTCCGGCATTTTAGCTTTAATAGCAGTGTCCTTTTTAGGATTTATAAACTTGCAGAAATTTTTCTTTATTATTTTGCTAACCTTAATCCTGTTTATAGAGACTTCTAGCAGTATATTATAGGTAAAAAAGTAGGTTTTAGCTATTTTACCCTATTTTTTCTACCTAGTATATTATTTAATTATAGGTCTAGTATAGTATTTAATCTCTATACTATCTATAGTATTGCTTAGTGCAACAGGACTAGAAAAGTATTATTTTACAGCTTCCTGCAGCCTCTTGCGTACGTTTTTTATTATAGGTGCTAAAGAGGTTTTAGAAATATATCCCGGTTATAAGGGTAGGCTAGTCTGCGCTTTTAGTATTTCTAAGGGTTATATTGCAGGCAGGGCCTTAACTATTACTTTTTAGTAAGTAATATTATAGTACTATAGATAGTAGGCGCTGTTAAAAAAAACCTTTTTTTATTCTACTTATAATATATAGTTATAGATCTTAAACTAATAGTAGCCTAAAATAAGCTTATAACGCCCGCAGCTGTATACTATATAGTAGCGGAGGATTTTAAAGTGCTTTCCTATTTATAAGGGAAACTTAGCGTATTCTATTATCTACTTCTTAGGTCTATTAGCACCTTAGTAGGAATATACTCTTTTTTTTCTTTTTTAGGGGTTAGATATTTAGGTTTAGTTAGTGCGCTAGTTTATATAAAATAAAGTTATAGAAAGCCCCGCAGTCTAGAAATACTTTTATTTCTACTACTTAAAAGTTTAAAAATTCTGCTTTCCTAAAAAAAATAGTTTTATTTCTTTAGATAGTTTCCTATCTATCTAGCAGTTTCTAAAAGTGCTTTCTATTATCTTTTTTACTTTTATATACTTATAACCCTTAACAGTAGCTATTATTAAAAGTGCCTAATTTTCTAAACTGCTAGAACTATTAGAGTTGGAGCTAATATTAGCTTCCGGCTTATTAATTTTCTTAAATTCTAGTGCAGTTTCTAAATTAGAAATAGTATCCTATATAGCGCTAACTTCTTAATCTGCAAGCAGGCAGTTAATAGCGCGGTAGCTTAGTTATTTATACTTAAAGTATTTCTAGTTAGTATAAAGATAGTTGCGGCAGGCCTTCTATATAGGAGTTATTTTTATATTAGTATAGTTAGGGTTACGCTATCTAAAGAAAGGGGTAAGCTTAGCACTATTGCTATTACTAGAAATAGAAGAGCAGTTACTGCTATTATTAGAAGCAGGCGGTTAATTATTACTAGTAAAGCTTGGCTAAAAAGAATAAGGTTAGTCCGGCTTGCCCTAGTTATTAATACGGGGGTGGGAGCTAACTATTTTCTTATTTTATTTAAGAATTTATTACTTAGTCTAGTTTTTAATAATATAGTTTTTAATAGTATTAAGGAACTAGGGGAAGTTATCTATACTATAGGGCATACTGGATATAGTATTACTAATCTAGTTAGATAGCTTAGCTATTATTTTTTTAATAGCCTCTTAATCTAACTAGTTTAGTAAACTTTAGATAGTTTCTATAGATAACTTAAGTAAGTAGAACTATAATATAGCATTTTTATTAGGTTTCTAAAATAGCATTCTATAGATGTTTTTATAATAGAAATAGATATTCTTAATTCTAAAAAACTAGTATAGGAAGGAGAATAGCTTAAATAGTATTTAGAAATAGAAATTCTTATCTAGGTTTCTTTAGTATACTAGTACTGCAGTATTATCTTCTAGTTTACTAGCTATAATAGTAGCTAAAGTTTTTTAGGATATACCTATAAAGTTCTTAAAGTAGTTCTTAAAATAGGCTAGTATACTATTAATCTAAGGCTATAATATAGGTAGGTCTCCCCTAAACTTTTCTAGCTTAGAAAAGCCCTTAATATACGCTATAGGGTGGAAATTATTATACTGCTATTTTAGCTTATCTAGGTAAGCTATTCTAGTTTTTCTAGATAGGTTAAATAGAGTAGTAGAAGCTATAAACAGTTCCTAAAATAGGATTAGAAAGGCTAAGGCACTATATCCAGGTGTAGACTAATAAAAGAGAGGAATAGAAAGGTCTTCTAGGTAGTTAACTAGTAACTATATACAGACGTGTTAATAGTTAGCTTTTAGCTCCTAGATTTCCTTAGCTAAAGCTTAGTTTTTTACTTCTAGTTTATAGTAGGCAGATTCCTATTATTAAATATACTTTTTAGCTGCCTTCTTTAATTAGGTAGCTGCCTTTTCTGCTGCCTACTAGGCCTGTCTAGTTTTAGATTCCTGGATAATAGTTACTATATTATTATACTTCTTCTATAAGGATTTATATTTAATTTTCTATTTCTTTGCTTTTTCTTTTAGTACTTAAACTATAGCGCAAATGCTAGCCTATTAGTGCTAAAGGTAGCTAAAATTAGTATTAAGGTAGTTAAAATAGATAAGGTGCTTTTTAAAAATTTTGCTTCTAATAGGTTATTAATAAAAGTAAAAGCTAATAGTAAAATACTGTTAAGAAGCTAAGCTGTTTTAGTAGGGTATATTTAAGCAAAAGTAACTATTATATTAAGATTACCTAAACTATTCTTAAGTTCTTCCTCTGCTCTAGGCTTTAGAACTAAATCTAGGTTTACTATTTTAGCTCCCTTAATAATATTTCTATATACTGTTCTAGGCCTAGTTTTATATATAATAGTAATTGCTTAGTTATATTAGGAGGTAATAGTTTTATTTTAGAGGTTTATATTAAGGTTATAGCTCTATACGCGGAAGCTTATACTAGGGAACTTATAGGGTACTTAATCTTTAACCGCTATAATAGTAATATTAGTAGTAAAATCCTTTTCTACTTCTATACTACTAGATAATTCTTTATTATTAGATTTATCTATATCCTAGTCCCCCTTTTTTTATTAGTTATATTTAATATCCTAATACATAAAGGGCCTAGAAAGGGGAGAAAGGCTAGCTATAAAGTTAGTAATATTCTTAGAAGGTATAAAGGTAGAGAAAAGGTTAGAAAGTAATAGTAGATTAGACTTTAAAGGCGGTATTACTAGCTACTTACTAGTAGCTCCTAGGTACTATACTATAGAGCTAGATACTTTAACAGCCTTACTAAATATACCTAAAAAAGTATAGCAGGAATTAGTAGGGTTAACGCCCTTTTTTAGGTTTATTATAGCGATAGCAACCTACTATAACAGGTAAAATAGTAAACTAGGTTTCTAAGTGGCTAGGATTACTAAATATAGTCCTTATAAGGATAGTAGATATTATAGAAAGTATTATAAAGTGTAAAAACTTAATAGGTAAATAGCAATTAGAAAAGGTTATATTACTATACTATAGAAGTTATAATATAAAAAGAGAAAAAAGGTTAAGAGCGCAGCTACTAGAAGTAGGTTCCTAGCGCGTTTAGCGCTAGCTGCTAGTGCGCCCGCCTGACAGTTATGTGACTATGTGACATCTTATAACTACAGGTGAATGTCGCTTGCAAAATAAGGGAAAAGGCCGTCCAAGGCCTAATAAGTATATTACTTCTTTAAGCCGGTATAGCGCTTTAAAAATATATTAATAAAGCAGTTTAATTAGTTATTAAAAAAAGGGAGGGTACTATATAAAGTAGGTTAAATACTATTAAAGAGTTAGGAGCTAGTTAAGCTGTATATTTCTTTTTAGGAAAAAAAAAAGGCTAATATAGATACGGCTACTCTATTTATAAGTATTTTAAAGGGGATAGCTAAGTAATAAAACTGTTTTTAGATAAAAAGGCTTATAAAGTAAGTATAGGACTAATTTATTGTAATAGTTTTTAAATAAGTTAAATTAGTGAAGTAGATATACTATATCCCAGGCATCTGGTCTGCGAAGTAAGACAGCTATTATCCTCCCTAAAATGATCCGCTGCATACTTAGGATAAGCTGAGATGTTGTTAGACGCATTCGTTCGAATTCTCGTCTGTGCTCAGATCGCTTATAACTCCTAAGAACGGCACCGCCGCAGAAAATAAGCTAAAAGCGTTGATCAACAAAGGGGCGTTCAGCGTGGAAGAGGGAGTAGTCTGGAGAACACGTTGGAATGGTTCCGACGCCGAACTTGCTCGCAAGCATGGTGATGTCCATGAACTTGACGTATTCGGCAGGTAATGTGAACCAGTTTTTGTAACCGCCAATCCCGGGAGGGAGAGTAATGCTATAGGCGATTGCGTCCGGTTTATACTCCAAGGTGCCCCACGTAAAGCCGCCTGGTGCCATGTATAAGTCCAGGGACTGGAAGAGCTAAACACCAAGGTCTTCTGGGGTTAGAGCGCTTGTCTTCGCCTGCATTTCCTCTGCGATTTGCTTTGTTATATTATAGAATGCTTGCGCTGCATCCTCTGTGCTTTGTCCGATTATTTACGTCGATTCTGCCAATAACTGTCTCCGTCTGGTTTGTCCTAACCCTGAAATGGTATTAATAAGTGATCAAAATTAATGCACATCGCTGGTTCAACTACCTTCTTCCTAGCTGCCTCGAGCCGTATAAAAGTTGGACTGTTCTTAGCCAGATATTCTGCTACAGTTTTGTTTGGGCCAGTCGCGGGATTATAGATTTAAGGCCCGTTTGGTGTCGACAAACTAGGTATGTCTCGCTGTGGTTCTGACATAGCAACGTGCTAGAATCCGCCTCACGCTAAAGAGAAGAACCAGGGTGAAGAAAACAGGAGCCTGGAAGTATGTAGGCTTACATTTGATTCCAGTGCTGGCGCATTGCTTGGCGGGGGTGTTTTGGTGTTGCAGCCTTTATATTTAAGGCGTTGCTCAGCCTCTCCAACACGTGGCACCATTCACATTAATCTCTGCTAATTCTTCGTAATCTTATCCAAGCTATAAGAAGGTGCGAGTTTTGCCAGCGGTCGACGCGAGTTTCGGTTTAATGCGCATAGAGAGTAAGGTGATGCTATAACTAGCTTTGTTACTAACTATGACAATATCGGAGCTAACTTAATAGTGTTAAATAAAGATGGCTGTTTCTAAGGACCGTACCATCTAATGCCTAATTTAATATGTCCAATTTGTCTTCTTCCGCGAATGTTTGAGTTTAGCAAAAGTAAGAGAGGGCTAGTAAAACAGTTCTAGCATGAATGCCCGCCTTCATCCTTTCCCCGCAAAGCCCCGCCCACCATTTTACGTCCATCTAATGATGAGTCATTTCAGGATCACGTGTAATTTGAAATCTTGGGAGCGACATAATTAGTTCGTGATTGTCGAATAGACCTCAAATTTCGAATCTTTGCCTTTTGCCATGCGAATTAAAACTCCTACAGTTGTCCTGAAGCTTGCCTTCGAATACCGCCCGGTGGAGTCTTAAGAATTTGAGAATCGCGCGCGGCTAAAAATAGACAGGCCCAAAAAGAGGCCCATCTTTCAGGGTCAGGCTCGGTCCCACCCTTCGCGCTCGCTTCATGCCTCACTCGTTCTCTTCCCATCACCATCACCACAGTAAGCTAACATGGACAAGGCTAGTCTGGTACTGGCACAAGGCGTTCCTCCTGGCGTGCCTAAATCATTCCGTGCCCTAGCAGATTATAGCGATGTGCAGGGTGTATTGTATTTCATTTGGCACAATAAAAGACTGTCCGGCAAAAGCATTAATAGCCTCTGCCGTGGCCTAATCGCATGCAAAAGAAAAGCTAAGCCTAATCAGACTTCCTCGCAGTAGAGCACTGATGAGGTCTACCCGAGGGTTAATCACGCTTGCTTTGTCTTGTTCGTTCGCCTCAGCTTTCCCCTGTCCTTCGCAAACTAGATTATAGCTCTAACTGCCTCGATGTTAGGCTTCCGGTCGAAAATGGTATCCTCGACTGCCCCTTTCAGCTTTGTTCTCCAAACAACCACTTCTCAAACTGCGCCGTATTCAAACTCTTCGGTACCATTTCCCTCGTCGTCTTCCACTTCGTGGAACACAGTCCAAAGCTGCTATGCTCTGATGGCTTCAACGCAAGAGACTTCACCCTCTGCGTCTCGGGGCTATCCTCACCCTCACAGACAACCCTGGCCTTATACGCTCTCTCTGCGAACACGCTTGCCCGAGCCTGGTCTCCATGCGTGATGCTGACTTGGAAAGCGTCGTAATAGAGCCTGGCACTGCTTGCCGTAGCACACCCGCCGTATTCCTCCTCCAGAACTTGAAGCAGCGAGTGGCAGTCCCCTAGAACTTCCTTCGGGCTAACCATCATCCGAAATGGATCCCCAATGGTGTCGTCGAGGCCTTGAATCAGTATTCGGCGTGCGTTGCTGGCTTGGAGCTCGGAAGGCGGAAGAGAGCATCCGCTGCAGTTGCAATCGAAACCGAAGGCTTCATTCAGAAACGCCTGTCGTACGATATATGGATCCCCTCGGTCATACGATATTGTGATCTCTTCTCCGGCTTCGATGGGTCGGACCGCGTGGATGGTTTCGTGTTCCACGTTGCTGTTCCAGCTGTGGTGAGAATTTGGAATACAGCTGTGATTGATGAGGCAGGCCGTGGGGTAGACTCCACCCACAGGCGAGCCGGGTCCGCAGGGCAGAGCGTTCGTCTTGACAATGCCGCTGAACGGGTACTTTCCCGGAAAGTTATTGCGGAGGGACAGGAACTGCCGTTGCGATGCTTTGGACAACGCTTTTAGCCTTGCCGCGAGGACCGGCTCCAACTCATTGGGCGGCATGGATCGAACTGTGAGAAGCGGCTTCTCAACAAGGATACGAGTACCTTTGGATATGTTGAAACGGGCGACGAGACCTTTGCCTTTTCCGAGGATGTCCTTGATTTCGAAAATCGGAATGCCAAGCTCTTTGATGGGATCAGTCCCGTTGAGGAAAGATGCAATGCTGGTGTGGATCTCGAGCTCATCTGGCTGTGAGTAAAGGATTTAGACTTTGTCAAGAAGCAGGAACGGCGAGATTACGACGGCATGACGGACCTGCTCATAGGATCTGATTGATTCGTGCACTTCATTCCAGTCGTAGTTACCAAAGTGGTCGAAACCTTCATTCCAGTACTGGACACGGGAGCCGAAGTGAACCTTCGCAATACGTGTAACAGTATCGATATAGCTTTCTACTCTCGTGGCTGCTGCGGTGGGCCCCGAAACCTTCGAGCTAAAACGCAGGAACTTGTGGCCCTCAAAGGGGAGTATGGGGTGTTCCCCTGCTTTGAATATAATGTAATTCGGCTTTATCTCAATTTGAGCGTCATCTTTGTAATGCTCTTTGATGAAGTTGATAAAGCGGTCCCAGTTGTGTCTATCAACGACTCCTTTGGATAGACGAGGAACCATGTCGAAGCCGGCGTCGATTCCCATGGCTGCCCTTTGATATTAGAATCGCGCAAGCAGTAGTACTAGGTGATGAAAGAGGTGGATACAGGATAAACCTTCTAGTCCGAGGGGAACGACTCAGGTTGAAAATTGATGTGAACTCTGTCTTATTTCGGGGGCCCGAAGGCCAAACTATATACTACGTAGGAAGTGACTGTATGCATAGGCAGAAGCACTAATTGGAGGCAGCAGTATGCAGCATTAGGCAGGGTAGGCCACCGTACCCCAACCCCTCTCTGTAGAAGTTGTAACTGGCTAGGCATGTAGGCAGCTACTATGCCAGCAACTCCAAGTCTGTACGTAGGTGACCGTGAACCGTATGAGTTGTTGATCCTAGGTTGTAGCTGTTACAACCCGAGTGAACGAGTTTGTGTAAGCTTTCTAGAGTGCGGTCAGGAACGATGTTCCCCACTACGTTCTATTGACTTTGTCTCCTTGCTACCTGGTAGTATATCCCTTCTGTTAGGAGTATTCTGATATTGGAGACCAGCATAGCCAACCTGGCGTCGACGTACAGGAATCAAGGCCCAATGGGACGCAGCGGAAGAGCTGGAGGTTGCAGCCACCACGAAACTCAACGAACACTTGATTGGTATTGTTGGTCTGCCGGCACGAGGTAGGCTTTTTGCCACGTCAGTCTTGCTTGCATGCTTTCTTGTTGATAATGCTTGGCTCGCCAGGGTGACGAAGGAAAGCACGCCGAGTGGCAGAAGCCCATTCTCTAATATACCGTCTCGCTAGATAACTTCTGTACATGGCAATATTCATCGGAGTAAGCTTGCATGCGCGATTTCTTTTATTGGAGGTTGTCTATAGCCACTCTAGGTCCTCCACTCTAAAACCATCTGGAAACTGAGGATTTGACTTGGCAAGCGTGCCGGATCAACAAGAGATCGTTCCAGATTCGCGAACAGAGACGATTCGACGGAGGTGCTGCAGCTAACTTGCCATGGCTTGACAACATTGATCAATCAAGACTGAGCCCGATGATGTCTGATTCATACATGTATTTCTTGTGAGATCAAGGCGCAAAGTCCATTGTGTTGGTACTGTTCCACAACAGTGGCGGTGAAGAACTGTGGTCTTTACTTCGTCATCGAGAGCGTTGCAGAGATAGTATTGCTCGGGCATAGTGCGCTACCGGTCCCTTCGAGTCTGGAGAATACATAACTCTGTGGTTCCATCCAGAGGGAGCTATCAATCTGCCTCTCTACTTCACTCCTCTTTACAGCAATCCTTGTTCATTCTCGCCATCAATAATGAAAATGGTGCTGAAATCTTTCCAGAATGATGCTCTGAACGGGCTGTGCTCCAAAGACCAATCAGAGCTATTGGACTCGGTTGATTGTCTCCGTTCGCAAGGTATCAGCCATTATGTGTCCTTGCTACAGATTATTGTGTGCGGCGACCAGTCCTCTGGGAAAAGCTCTGTGTTGGAAGCAATTTCCGGCGTGTTATTTCCTATCAAGAGCAGTCTATGTACCCGATTTCCGACAGAATTGATCCTTCGCAAGACGTCGAAGATTGGCGTAAGCGTTTCGATCGTCCCGCATCAATCTTGCAGCGAGCCCGAGCGTCTCTCTCTCACCGGCTTTGAGGAGAAGCTAGATAGCTTCGATGAGCTGCTGAACCTGATCGACAAGGCAAAAGCGGCCATGGCCATCTCTACTTTCAATAGAGCATTTTCAAAAGATCTCCTTCGGATAGAGGTTTCTGGCCCCGACCGACCACACTTAACGATCGTAGACCTGCCAGGGCTTATTCACTCCGAAACGAAGCAGCAGTCTGCATCGGATATCGAGCTAGTGCAAGATGTTGTTCAGTTATATATGGAAGAGCCAAGAAGTATTATTCTCGCAGTGGTCTCCGCAAAGAACGACTATGCAAATCAAATCGTGCTGAAGCTTGCCCGAACTGCCGATAGAGCGGGCACCCGGACACTAGGTGTCATTACAAAGCCCGATACTTTGATACCCGATTCTGAAAGTGAAGCAATGTATGTCTCTCTGGCGAGGAACCAAGATGTGGAATTCCGTCTAGGATGGCATGTACTGAGGAATATGGATTCCGAAACGGGGAAGTGGTCTTTGACAGAACGGGATGCTAAAGAAATAGAATTCTTCTCTTAAGGAATTTGGGAAACCCTGTCTGGGTCACTACTGGGAATTGGGAAACTGAGGGAGAGGCTCAGCAAAGTCCTTCTCGCGCAAGTCGCTGCCGAACTTCCCAGCCTGGTCGACGAAATCAAGAAGAAAACCGATGCATGCCGCAGCCGATTGCATAGGCTTGGCGAACCAAGAGCAACTCTCGAAGAGCAACAGCTGTATTTGCTTCATATGAGTTAATCATGCCAGTCTCTAATTAAGGCAGCTATTAATGGCACCTACAACGATCCCTTTTTCGAAAACGCCAGATCAGATACTGGATATTACAAGCGTGTGCGGGCCGTCATACAGAACCTCAATCAAGTCTTCGCAGAAGATATCGCTCGAAGAGGTCACCGTTACGAAATTATCAATTCGCCGCCCACAACTCCGAACTCCGGAGTAACCACCAGAGCCAAGTTTATAGAAAACATAGGACACTTAATGAGGAGGAGTAGGGGCCGCGAATTGCCGGGGACATTTAATCCAATAATAGTGGCAGATTTATTCCTGGAACAATCCAAGCCCTGGGAGGCCATTGCTCGGAAGCACATCGAGGGAGTCTAGGATGCAGCGAAAGAGTTCCTTAGTCTTCTAGTTTCACACGTCGCCGATGACTTATCCTCCAGAATTCTTTTCCAGAAAGCCTTCGAGCCCCAGCTGGGCCACTTGTTGGAAGTTCTGAAGGGGAAAACTGCTGAGTTCCTGGCACCGCATCAGACAAGTCATCCGATCACCTACAATCACTACTTTACTGAAACTATCCAAAATGTCCGGAGGGAGCGAACCGAAGCCGAATACAGGGCAATCCTCACAGATTTCTTCGGGACATCATCACTCCTTTCCGCAACAACCGGTAGGTTAATGGATCTGCGCCCGCTATTGAAAGCTCTTATGCAGCGCACTGAACCGGACATGAATCATTATGCTTGCTCCGAAGCCCTGGACTGTATGGAGGCTTACTATAAGGTTGTCTGATTTCGCTACACATTAGTCCCAATCTTCGGAACATTATAACAGATTGTTGGTTCTACTTGAGTAGGTTGCTATCAAACGATTCATCGACGACATCGCAATCGAAGTTATCGAAGTCAACATGATCTCGAGGCTTCGTGATATTTTCTCCCCTATCGAGGTTACTTCGATGACCGCCGAGACGGTGGCTAGCATCGCTGGCGAATCCGAGGAGAATCGAGCACAGCGCGAACAATTGACCAAACAACTGGACGTTCTCATGAAAGGCTCTGAAACCTGTAAACGGTTTATGACAGTTGGAGTCCTAGGTATGACCCTGCCTCGCTCTAGCCTCGCTGATTGCCACTCACGTATGTAACAGATGCTAACAAAGCTCGGCTCAATACCGCTAGATCCTATTCTAGCGAGTCAGATGATGGTTCTGGCGATCCAGTGGATTGTCTGTCGAATTCGCCTTCTTTCTCTATACGATCACCTTCCGTATTGTCTCAAGAGCCAGTGGAGATCGGGGAAACGGCCGATGAACCTCTGTATCTCGAGGACCCTGTACCTGAGCCAGAGCTGATGAAAGACGAGGTGTCGTCTCTTAAAGCTTACAGCTTACGGAAGAAGAAGAAGAAATCAAAGGTTGCAGAAGAAAAAGAGACGGTGGCACAAGCTCAAGATCCGTATTCTGAGGAATAGCCGGCGTATATAGTTAGCATCAATTCCATGGTTACCAATTTATATCAATGACGCTCCAAATTGCAAGATTATGAACTCTACATCTGGAACAATGCGTGTAACATGCGATTCTGTATACTTTCACCAATAATCAAGAAGGGTACTAAACTGTAGGTCCATTTAATTCTGCGTAGGTGTTTAATTAGAAGTTATTGCATTCGGAATTGCCCAAGCTATCGCTCGTCAACCTAGAATAAAACATCTAGCCTACTGTTACTGATGTCTTCAGCGCCGTGATATCGCCTGCCATCCTTCTAGCCGCACTCAGAGCACCACGTTGCCCTACCCTCCATAATCCCCCAGCTTACCTGAGTGCCGGAAGATCTGCCGTTCACACAATCCGGCAAAAAGCCCGCAAGTATATCCACGTTCTTCAAGATACGATAGCGTAGAATGTTCTGAAGTGGTGACTGTGGATGAGTGCGGTACGGGGGCTTTACTGTCTAATGCCTCCAAGTACGGCGATCGCACCGGCGATTGCTCGTGATGAGGAGGGTGTGGAGAGTCCTGATTTGTAGCGAAGGCCTGTTAGATGGATAAGCATGGGAGATAAATGACATACTCACTGGTGCGCTTGAAGCGCTGCCTCTTCCTCGAACGCGTACACTGTGTTAGACCTGCTACCGTTTTCTCTGTAGCGCAAATCCAGTATGCATAGGAAATTTTTTAGGACGAGCCTAATTATCACCCCCCTTTTTGCTACATATCACCCCCCCTAGATTTACCCTAGCTCCGGCCCGTATCAATATTGTTCCACCAATTATATTCACTCGCTTGCCGCTTGTGCAAATCGGAGGGGATGTATTCACTCTATCTACTCTACCTAGTCTAGTAGCGGAAAGCTCCTAGATAGCCACCTCTTAATTGCTAATTGAAAGTAACGTCGTATACACTATTATACCAAGGTCTTACACCTGAAGATCCTTCTTCCCCACGAATAGCCTCCTCCTTAGGAGTAGACAGAGGGCCATCCTTAAGGGCTGGTTGACTGTTAAGGACTAAGTAAGTAGAGCCCTGGGTCGCTGTTAGGGTGCCTGCTTGTCCGGCGGAGAGATCCGGTGTTATGTTGGTGAATTAAAAACTATTGCTAAACACAATTACAGCCTAAGTAATAGTCTAACTGGTGGAACAAAGTTGTTACAGGCCGGAGCTAGGCTAAATCTAGGGGGGTTGATATGTAGCAAAAGGGGGGTGATATCCAGCAAAAAGGGGGGTGATAATTAGGCTCGTCCACGAATAATCGTACACCCTCTACTCCCCTGTTACTTCACCACCTTCTGATTGGCTTAGAGGGTTGCTCCAGAGCTTCCGATTGGCTTGCTTCACTTGCTCACTAATTCCGAACGCTGTCTCCAAATGCGGCCACGTAGCCTCCAGCGCAGCCTCTCTGATTTGTGCAGCTGTATATACGGCCGTACGTGAGCTCGTACGCGAGGCTATACAAATCAGCATAGCTATACAGCCTCTCTGTTTTGCAGTGCATCCTGCCCGATTTATGCAGCTGTATATACAGCTCGTATGTAAGGCTGTACGTGAGGCTGTACGTGAGGCTGTACGTAAGGCTATACAAATTGGAAAGGCTATATAGTCGTACGTAAGGCCGTACGTAAGGCTATATAAATCGGAAAGGATATACTGTAAAACGGAGAGGCTGTATAGCCATGTTGATTTGTATAGCCTCACGTATAGTCTCATATACAAGCTTATATACGGCAGAGATGCACGTGCAGATAGACGTAAGGGTGAATGTTCGGAGGCCTCCTACCGGACCTCCGAGCCAATCAGAAGCGGTAAAGTAGGGGGTGTATAATTATTCGAAAGGGGGTGTACGATTAGCCCTCCCCATTTACTAACGGGGGCTACTAATCGCACACCCCCTTTTCACTAATCGCACACCCCTTTTTCACTAATCGCACACCCCCTCCCCCCTGTCGCTTCACCACGTTCTGATTGGCCCGGAGGGGTGCTCCGAGGCCTCCGATTCGCTCGCCTAAGTCGCTCACTAATTCCAAATGCTCTCTC